GGTTTTATTCCACAGCATGAGTGCCGTCTTGCTACTCATTTGACTCTCCTAAAAACAGTGTGACTTAACTGTGCTCATGGCCACAGGCATGTTGATATCTATGTAAGACTCAAGCAGGCAAGGAAGAGTTTGTAGAGGAAAGCATCACTGAATGCCACAAAGCCAAGTCCTCAGTGGTGGTAAGGTCAGTACAGGAGCTTCTAGCAGCTGGCACTCTGCCCCTGGCTCCCAGGTGATGTTATGGTGTGGTCCAAGGCTGTGTGACTGCCTGTGCCTGCTGCTGTGCTAAGCCTGAGAAAAATAAAACCACTAGGAGCAGAGCTGCTCAGCCTGGGACGACCCAACTGAGGAAATGGCAGCTCAGTACATGCCAATTACCTGGGGATCCCAGAGTGGGCTGTGGTGGCTATCATGAACTGATGTATAATTTAGGCTCAGTGAATGTGGGAGCATTGAGCTGTAACCTTCCCCCGAGTGAGTGAGACGAAGTCTATAATCCGAGCCACAGTCCTCTTCCCACTGTGCCTGTGTGATATGGGCTGCACTGGGGACTCTCCGTGCTTAAGGTGCTATGAATCAGATCCAAACATGATTTAAGGTAATTTTCTTCTAATTCACAGTCAGGCAATGGAATGAATCTGTCTTCTGAGAATACAAAGTATTAATAACTCCTTGAGACACAGTTTGGAAGCGAATGAATACCTCCATTTTTTGGTAAATTTTGAGAGTGTTTTTTTACTGCATGGAGATGAAATCCATTAGCAGAACACATGAATTAAAATAAAAGCAGCTTATTTGCATTGTGATTAACTGAGATGAGAAGGCTCATCTAGTTGTGAATATATGGCAACAAACCTTATAAATGGTACAATGTGGCTTAATCTTTGGGTTTTATGTTTCCACAAAATGGCTTTCATACAGAAACGTTTTCTTCTTACCTACAGCTGAAATTTGTCACCATGGTAACCTTCCAGATTTGGAGGGGCGGGGTGCTCTAGGCAAATATGTGGCCACAACCTCAGAAATGGTTATCCAAATTTGGATTAATTTCTCCCCTTTTTCTTTAACATATATGAGGTTCTTACACACTGGACAGCTGCTCACGTAATCAGATCAGAGGGAGGCCATACACATTTAAACTCTTATTTTCTTTCTTCAAAGGAGCAGTGTTTGGGGCAATTTCCTCCCTTATTCAACTAGCTCCATCCTTCCCCAGCTGCAGCTCCAAGTCAGCATGGCTCTCCTGGAGCTGCTGGCCCGTGCTCTGCTCTTCTCTGCTCCAGTGTCTGCAGTGTCACCCATTGTTGCTGAGGAAATGCAGGAATCCTGAAGTGGGATCCTGGCAGCTCAGCAGTGGAGAATATGCTGTTCATTTCCTGGCTTCAATATGCACATAGTTCTATAGTTCTATTTTGTTTTATTGTACATGTCTGGGAGTGACTTGGGGCCTTAAACAGGTTAGTTTTTAAATTGTGGATTTTTTCTTTTGCATTTTTTAAGGGAAAAAAACTGGTAGAAATGTGCGTTAACACTTCCAAAAATAAGATTACTAAAGCCTTAGAGAACCCTCCCCCACAATACTGTATCGATGCAATATTATTTGAAGGACATGTCAACCTCTTGATCCACACCTGATTTTCATTTCCCATGTTATGTGTCAAACTGCTTCCTACTGCTTGCCCATGTTCTGTTTCTGGCTTTTAGGTTGCAGGAAAAAGGAGGAGTTTATGATTAAAGCTCTGGACAAAGGCTGTGTAGGGTGAAGTTGCTATTAGTGAACTACTGGCTCTGCCACTAACTCCTGAGATAGATAACCACTGTTGAGTCATTACATGTCTTTCTGCCTGAGGTCCTAGCCTGTAGGCAACACATAGTGTTTCTTCTTGTCCTTTTGCTTTTTGTGTGGGCATAATGTGTGACAAGCGCTAGTGGCAGGAGTGCCTTGATTTCATCTGAAGCTTCTTAGTGTAGCTAATAAATAAATAGTAAGTAGAAACTATTTGAGGGAGTGCAATAATTAGCAAAGTGGTGACCCTATCTATTTGTTTGCTTTTGAGAAGTTCCTGGCCTGCCACAGGAGCTATCAGTAAACAAACCCCTGTTATATGAGTACACCCACTTCTTTTTTTTTCGCTGTGACTGACGTTTACATCTTCTTTTATTTTCCCTGTATGGTGGGGGAGCAATGATTCTGAAAGTTATCTGAAGTTTTTTTCAGGTCACTTAAGCTGTTTGCAGGCTCAGACTGGCATGTGCATCTTGTGTGCAGCCAAATCATGTGTGTTTGCAGGAGACAGTATGCTTGTGTTTCTCCCACGACCCTGCTGGCTCATTAGTGTTATTTCTGGAGGTCTTGTTTCCACAGTAACAGGCAATTACCATTGTTCCTTGGACTGCCAAAGTTACCACCAGCAACGCAGAGGAAGATGCGTTATTCTCTATATTGGGATAAAATGCTTTCATATGTCTTGCTATTCACTGAATGCCAATCCTGACGCAGGTCCTGTGCAAATAGCACACTCCACCCCCTTCCAGTGCTGCTTTTGCTGGTATTAAGACATGCCAAATTCTGAAACGATCCAAAATGAACTTCTCTGGTCTGTGGCTACACTGGCAACGACAGGGTCAGGATTTCAGCGGCAGGATGACTGTACCAATGGTAGCTCTGGTAGGAATATAAATAGAATAGCTTGGAGGCAGTTCTTTTTGCATTTGTGCTTAGCCCTGTTCTAAGTAATGCTGGCTAGTGACGTCAGTAAAATATACTGTCTTCACCCTATAGCTTCTACCAGTATAGTGGTGGAGCTCACAGGGAGGAGACTGGAGGTCTTATGCTGGCAGGATGCCGAAGTGTCTGTATGCACGATGCCTTTATCATCCCCAAGGGGCAACGTGTGGCTTCTCCTTTCCCTTTTATCTTTATATTGCAAAAAGACTGCTTCAGAATGGGTTTTAAACTCCAGAAAACATATCCTGAATTTTATGTACGTATCAAAAGATTAGGCATCTGGGAAGCTGAAGGAAAATGAGCTTTTGTGGGCAAAAGAAGTGGGGTAGTGAGATGCTGGTGCACCTGGCTTAGTTTTCATAACTTGGAGAGTTTTCATGGCTTTCAGTGACTCCAGTTTCCAAGTGTACTCCATATTCTAAAAAGCTCTGAGGCCATGTTGTAAGGTCTGAGCTCATCTTAACAGTTTTCTTGTGAATGGGTACATGTGTGGATCTGCATATAGTCATCCACTTGCCCAAATGACTAATAACAGGTCTTGAAAGAAGAGCATAGACTCTAGCCTCCATAAACCAAAGCATGGGACTGCAGGCAAGGAGTCTTGCTCCAAGGTAGCTGAAGAAAAGAGAGGCATTATAAAACTGGGAAGGAACAGCTGTTCATCATGGAAACACTTGCACTAGAGATTTTTAAAATCTGGACTTACCAGAGAAAGTAGAGGACAGTTTCCTATCAGGTCAGTATATGAGGATGCCAGTGAGCCTGCTGCTTTGGCAACTTATCAACATGCTTTAGCTGCCCTTGAGGAAATAATAATCCAAAGCAAAGTGCCTGTATCTCTTCTGGAAGCCAGCGTAATTTTTAAGTGTCTCTCAGTTAGTAGGGATTGAAGTGTAGAAAGTCCATCAGTTTTCTTGGGGACTGACCATGGAGCAAAGGCAGTACTGCAGAGAAAGGTTAGGAAGACATCCTTGGGCATGGGAGAGCAGTCCTACCTAATCCAACGAGCTTCTCTTCTCCTCTTTTGTATTGCACCCTCCTAACATTTTAGCACGGTCTGTATAACAGAAAGAAATAAAAAGGAAGATAAGCTTATTTTCCACACATAAATCAGAATCTGGTGTTTTAAGTTCTAGGTGACAGCATACGAGGCTTGGGTGGTTCGTAATTAGCCGAGACTTGGTTTTGTATTATAAGAAAATATTCCCATCTCGAAAACAAACCAAGCCTTTGCTCCTTATCTGTAAGCTTTAGGGCACCTACTGGCATCCCACATTTTTAGCCGGGGTGGTGTGCCGAGCTTGCCAGCAGACACTAGGTGGGAGCCTTGGGCTGCGGTTTTACCGCAGCTGCTGGAGGCAGAAAAAGCAGACTTGTGCTTTCAGAAGCGTGATCGTTTTCTTTTCTTTCTGCTCTCATGCTGGAAAGGAAAGTCTAAGCTTTGCAGGTGCAGAATGAGATGAGCAGAGGAATGGAGGAGAAGTATCTGTTCCACCCCAGGTTCTACCTGCAACAGGATTTTGTGAGCAGGGCTGCGGTGGGAGTATTGAAGCCTTCCTAGTTCGTGGGAGTGGTTGGGTTGCAAGATTGATTTAATTTTATCCTCATTTATATATCCATTTATATTTATATATGAGATAATTTTGAGATCCCCATGAATGCATATAAAAAAATTGAGATGAAAGTGAGTACTGATGAGCTGATTTATCTAGCAACAAATGCTGGTAGAACCAGCTAAGATGAAGTGCATGCTCTATTTGTGACGATTGATTTCAATAAGGCCTCCAATCTTAAAGATGTTCCAAATAGGGAGATTTAAAGTTCGTACAAAGAATGAATCACAGGTTAAGTGAGAGCCAGATGAAACTTGAAATGTTCATTTTGAGAGAAATCTCAAAGTTTATGATTTCAAAGCTTCTTGTTGCTCATAAAAATACTGTTTTCAGTGTCTTCCTAAGAACTGAAAATTAAGAACCTTTCAATTAGGTACTTCTAGAAAAATAGCTGATGTTTTCTTTTGAAAATTAGTTAAATTTTGTTAGTGTTTCACATGTCAGTTGTAATGCAGAGTTAGCTTATGCCAAATCAAGTCTCATATGAGGGCATGTTATGCAATCCTACCAGTAACATAGCATACCGGGAATATCAGAATTAAATATTCTGTTATATAATTTAGTACAGGTGTTTTGTTTTTTTTTTTAAATTTATTTTCAAAACAAGTGACTTTTTTAGGAAGTAACAAGTTTTCTGTCAAAACTGGTACCAGCTTTAGTATTATGTGCTGACTGAAACCATTGAAATTTTTATACTCTGAAGAAATGTGCTCGGTACTAGTTAGGGACAAATTGTTTTTATTACCCTAGAAACCCGATTCCAGACTAATGGCAGGATATTGAACACATCAGTGTCTCTTGTTTTTAACTGGATAATGTAAAAAAACCCCAAGAATAGAATATGATATAAAAATATAAGCTTGTTTTCAAAGTTAGTGTTTTAATTTGAAAAAAATCTGCCTTTTTTTTTTTTTATGGCAAACTTTTCAATACTGAAAATTTTGTTTGAGCCATCTTTTCCATAGGGATTTTTCATTTGTACTTACAATTTTGTGAAAAATGTTGATTTTATCAAAATAGTATTTTCTGGTTGAAGACTGTTTCAATTAAAGTTTTCTCACTAGTGTGAGCTGTTATAACACTCTCCTCCTCCACCCTCTGAGCTGTGGTAAAAGGGTGAGTGAAGTTATTGATTTATCTTTCCTTATATTTTATTTTAGTGCAATGACTTCAAGAGCTTCATAGCTGTTCTGCAGACAGATGCACAATTGTGAAGCATCAATATGGACTGCAAATCTCTACTGTCAGTCAGTTCTTCTTCCTCTCTGCATAACGTAATCCCTATCTTCACAATGCCTGCACAGATACACATTTGCAAAGATGTTTTTCTGAAGATTTTACTTGTTCTCTCCTCTAGCAACATTATATGGAGTTTCAGTTCACAGTTCACTGTGTTCCCCCTCCTACCACTGAAATGCAGCCAACTCTGTGCTGCGGCTATTAAACATCACACAATCAACACCACAAAACAGATTGTGGAAAGCAAAGGAATTCAGAGAAAAGCAATAAATTGAGTGAGGACTGCAAGGGTTGTCTGGGAAGTGATAAAAAAGGGTAATAGGGAATGAGTAGTGGTTGATAGTGATGCAGAATAGAAATCACCTTGATATTGAGTTGGTAAGAAGATACCAGCATGCAAGGGGGAGATTTTGAGGGTGGCACAAAGAGATGTCACTAGGAGTAGTCAGATTTCAGCCAGGGAGACAAGCAGCTCAGCTTCCCTAACCACTTGAGTTTTGTCAGTGTCAAGAGTCCCAAGGAAAGGGCTGCTGGCATCATCGCTGGAGGATTTTAAAACCAATCACAGTTTCAAGACAGGACAAGGCAGTGTTAGGACAGGTGAACAAAACAATATAGAGTAAATAGCCATATCTATCCCCACTTTCTATGAGTCTGAGAAAAGTCAGGAGAAAGGGATAGTAGAAAGTTAGGAAAGAGCATGAACTAGCATGACAAGAGGTGTCAAGGAAGATTTCAAAGACAGTGCTCATCTTTGACAATACGATGACCTTAGGGTAGGAAAGGAAGAAAATGGGGAAGTTGTGCAATGAATCAGAGGAAAGGAGAAATGTGTGTGAATGTACATAGCTGTTTATGTGTGTGTGTGTCACAATAGGAATCTCATAGAAATTGGAAAAAATATTATAGATGTCTGCATCTCAGTTTGCCCAGGCTGCTGGAAGAGGACACCTTGGCACAAAACCTGCACATGAATTCTTGCTTCTTTAGGTAAAGCGATGAAGGGGGAAGGTTGCCAGACACTGTCACTGATTATTCAGTGGACAAATAAGAAGCAATTGCAAAAGTCTGTTCGCAACTCGAGTTGCATAGCAACGCTAAATTGTCAGATTGCTGTAATGGTAGTCCCTTATCCCCCTTATTAGAGCTCTTTTTAGGAATCATGCAGTATGATGTTACTAGCCCACTCCCAAGCTGGTTGTCTGATCTTTATCTCTTGCTGAATGATGCCATGTAATTTGCTGCAAAGGTATCTTGAAGTAGTACACCAGAGAGAAAGGTCCTTGAGGTTCCATCAACATAGGCCTTCAGAAGCAAAAGATACGCCTATGCAGGATGGGGCAGGAGAAACAATATCCTCAAAGAAGTCTAGTGTCTGACAAACTCAGCAGGGTGTATGTTACCCCGTCTTTTCTCTGAACTGAGTCTTCCTTTATCCAACTGGAAGGTGATTTTGAGGGGTGAGCCAGAGTTGCTTATGTGTTTCAAACACTTCTGGTGCACACTTCTGTTTGGTGGTTAGATCAGTCCTATGGACTATTGCTGCTGTGAAATCCTAACTTCCAGACAGCTGTTTCCTGCTTTTCAATGTAAACACCTTGTGAACTGTCTCCTGGTGGGGAAGCTGAAGTACAAAAGCAGTCACAGCATCATCATCCTGTGATATTTTAGACACTATCAGTATCTGAAAGAATACCTAGAAATCTGCTTGTGTTGCAGGATGTTGCTAATATCCTGCACAATTTCTTTCCTGGATGTCTTGTATAGCACAACGTTCTCCTCCTTGTTTCATTCTAATGCAGTTTCTTTTGCTAGCACAAGACCCTGAAATGCCCCTGCCATCTCCTTGCAGCCAAGGCAACCAGGGTTAATGGATACCAAGGTGTAGCTAGAATTTTAAGGATGCAAATAACCTGAATAAACTCCTTTACTGCAAACACGAGACCGACATGGACTGAGGACACAAGGTAGAGTGGAAATTAGCTTACAGGCCTTTTGCATGCGATGATGGGGAGAGTGGTCTGCGTAAGCAAGTAATTCTCACTCCTTTCTGAGGAGTTCCTGGTTGTAAACTATACCAGCTGGTTGCAAACTGTACCAGCTTTTTCAAGATCATCACTGCAAATTATGAACAATAAAACAGACCTCAAAGGGACAGGATAGAAAGCCTGTCCCCTCTGTATAGAGTAATGGAATTATTCTGCTTCATTAAAACAACTGATGAGGAAACAAAGAGCCTCAAGATTCAGTTCCCCTATTTTTTCTGTGACCAGAACCCAGAGCACAGCCAGACTGGATGCTACACTTGCTTGCTTGATACTAAGGGGATCAAGCTTAGACAAGGTCTAACACAGTAGGTGATAAGTACCCATGCATGATATTTCTAAGAGAGATTCGATGACTGTGGATTTACCCTTGACAAGGAACATCTCTATAATGCAAAGTAGCTTAGCAGTCCTTACAAAGAAAGAACAAAAGGTGTTCATCTGACTTTCTCCTTTCTTCCTTTCAGTATCTCTGTGAACAAGAACTGCTGGATGGGACTCTCTAAAGAACTTAGTTGTCTCTCCAGGAGAGAGTCTCCTCTCTGACTGTGTATTAGATTTATCTTACTTCCCCCTGAGGCTAAAGGATTTGAGATCATTAGAGAGATAGCAGGTATTGGAGTGGTCACCCACCAGTATTGTAGCTCAGTCATCCTGAGGACCGCTCTCAAGAATGATTTATCCAAGAGGTCTGCAGAACAAATAGACTTTTATGCCTTGCAGCTGCTCTACATGTGTTTGTTGACAGCTCTGGCACTTCAGTGAGTAAGTCAGTCCTGAGTTTTAGGCTGTGTCACCCAGACTGAAGAGTTTTGTATCTCTTTGCTGACATGGACTGTGTGGAGGTACAGATACAAGAACCTGTTCTGTGAGGCTGGTTTACATTTGATAATTATTATGACTTTCTCTTTTTAACTTGGTCTTCTAGTTTATGGTGGAGATAGAGCTGAGGGTCCTCACTGATGAGCGGAGGATTGTCTTACCAGACCTCAGACTATGGTCAGACCTCTTTAAAATTTCTCTCTATGTATATCAGTCTCATTCTGTGTGAGTTACTAAGTACCATCTTTGCAGCGCCTCAGCTTTATTTGACGATCCAAGTTTCCTGTGACCTTTTGAGGATAATGTTTGCAGGTTAAATGTGCTGAATAAGGACAAATGAGAAATGCAGAAGAAGTGAAAATGGGTTTTAAAGAAGATCATCTTCTGTCAGCATTGTTTGCGTGTGTGCTCATTTCTCATAAACATTCAAAGGCTCAAGTTTCTTACACATGGAAAACAAATGTCAAGACTGCACGTGACTACTTGTCATAAATTAATATTAAATGGCATCACACTTCATCTGGAAGTGCTTGTACACTCCTTTTGTCAGAAAGCAGAATAAATAATGATCAGAATCACCACCTAGAGCTGGTGATCTGCATATGCAGATATGAAAATGCTCTACAAGGAAGGTCAAGCCTCCAATTTTGCAAATGGGACACATTTCTTCAGTAAAGTCACTTGTCTGGTAGTCACAGAGCTTCCACTCCTCTACCTAACCCACTGAGGCAAGTGAGGATGCACATTTGATTATTTTCTCTTCCACCCTTGACTGCCCCTTTTAAAAGGAGTCACTCTCCCTTTCATTTACTGCTCATGGCATGAGGTTATCCGTCACTACCCAGCACAGGATTCCTTCCATCCTGGCTGTGCATGTGTGCTTAGTGGAATGTATTTTTTCTCTTCTTCCTTGCCTTGGAGTCATGCCTTGATGCTTTCCTTCAGGTGACCTCTGCTTCTGCCTTCAATGCCCCTCACTGCAAAGGATTTCTTCTCCCCTACATCTCTTCTGGGCTGGCCAGAGACAAGTTTCCTTGCAGAGCAAGCCTGACTGTGTGCTTGGGTATTCTGTACTTGTCTACCATCCTTGTCCTTTTCTGAGGGGTCTCTTGTCTTCCAGGGCTTTCAGAGGAAGATTTGTGTTTCTGAGTCCTCTTTCTGCTTTCTTGTGTGGGATTTCATCCTGACAGTCCCCCAGACTGTGGAGAGATGCAGGGTGCAGGAGGGTTATAAGGTGAATGTGTTTTTTCCTGTGAGGGCAGATTTTGACAATGGGTTTTACAGGGTTGCCTGTGAGTATGGGCTTGGTAGTGGTTTCAGAAAGTGAAATTTAGTCAGAAGGGACTTGTTCAAAGTGTCTAAAGTAACATGTATCAGAAGAGGTCTGTCAGGAATACCTTTTCTTTGTGTCTCTCCAGAAACTAACAAAGGGACATTCAGAGAAAAATCGGCAATTTTCAATTACTTCACACAGTGGTAATTAAATCACCAGACATGTTAACACTGCATGATCCAGAGGCCACAAATTGAGGTGGAAAATCTAAGTGGCTCTTCAGAGTGAGCCAGTTTCCAAATTCCTAGGAATTAATTCTTTTCTTGAGCCTCCTTCTACAACTTCTTTTCAGGGCTCCAAGGACACTACCAGCCCTGACTGTCCCTGCCCAGCATCTCCTGGGTCTCCTTCCACCCTGCCCAGGTCCCAGGACCCCAATTCAGCCTCCAAGTGCCATTAGTCCTTCAGTGACACTGAAGCAGGTACTCTTCAGTTCCCCACAGCCCTGGCCTGACCAGCCATGGGTCCTGCTGCACCATGGAGGTCCCACTGCCCTCCTGACTGCCCTGCTCCCTGAATGGGATGGTGGGATTTTGCTGGGGAGCTCCCAGCCCTCCCAGTGCCCTGACACTCTTTAAGCTGTTTGGTGTGGACACTGCTAGACTCTGTTGGCTCTGTCCTGTTCCATTTGTATGATTCCTCTTAAGCCCTGTACAGTCTATGCCATCATATGCCGTAACCAGTAACATTTTTAAAATGGATAATTCTCATCCAATACACTGTGTTTATCTACAGCAAGAGTGTCAATGCCTGCCAGGATATAGAACTGATTGCAGAGACTGCAAATGTGATACTTGGACTAGTAAGTCATTTTACCAATGCATTTCCTCTTAAAAGTGATGATTGTTAGAAATCATTGATCTTTTTCTTGTCCTCTTAGTCCGACAATATCACAGCTCCAAGATGGGAAGCCTTGCTGTGTGAGTACAGATATACAGATCAATATCTGTTCTCATGGCAGCAAATGAAAATGAGTGGTACAAGTACAAAGGTAGACTTGCACAACCCTGTTAGCAGTAACAGTTTGGAGGCAAGCATCAAATGTCATGGCAGTTGGAATTAAGAAAGTGAATAGATGCTTATGGCATCAATCTGCCTTGGTTTGGAGTTTAACGTTTATTATTTTGGTGATAATTGCAAAATTTCTAGAATTTCTAGGGTGAAGGAGGGGAATGATGCTAGAAATATCTGTTGAAATAGCTGTTTCTCAGTGTTTGGGTATATCCATTTCAGAAAAGCAGGTAGTCATTCAGAAGAGACTAAGGGATCCATGCTTCTGTGAGCACATACTTCTGTGCATACTAAAACTGCAGGCTATAATATCTTTGCTCTAGATTTACCAGCAGATAACATTGCAGCTCAACAGTCAGAGTCTCCAGTACCAAAATCCATTAACTGACCTACAGCCTTGATACAGTCCAGGTAAATTTTGTTCTGGGTCTTCTGTTGATGAGATATTAAAGCAAAACGTGTTGTATTCATTGTGAGGACTTTTTTTTTTTCCTCTCTTTTTGTACCACACAGTTCAGAGAGATCATAGAAGACACAACTTTATTTTAAAAAAAAAAAAAAAAAGGAAATACCCTTTCAGACCAAAGAGTTTAAAAGGTGTTGGTGTGCTGACATACATCACTTCATTATGTTGGGTTGTGGGAGGGGAGAGGGTTTCTTCCCTAAGTATGGAAAAGACTTCTTGCTCTTTCCAATTTCAATGCCAAGGTCAAATTGACAGCTCAGCTGATTCGCACGCTCACAGGGGGACGGCTTGGTTGCCTTGCTTGCACACTGCTTCATGGTCTTGGCAAATATGGGTCCTGACTGTGCACAAGTCTGAGGAATCCCATAAGAAGTGTCCACAGCAAGGATTTAACTTGTGGTTAAAAGCCAGACATGACTGCACCCCTATTAACCTCCTCTCTGTAAACCCCAAGAAGGTCTCCCAACTCTCTCCTCCCCAAACCTCCATCACTTTTCCTCTTTCTTTGATTTTTCAGCTAAAAATAGGGTGACAGAGGGACTGTGGGGTAAGCAGCTGGAGTAGAGCAGAGCCAGTTGCCATAGAAACCAATGAGCCACTTAGCAGCAGCACTTGCCTTCTTTGCCTGCGGAATTCTTTTTCCCTCTTGTTCGTGGAGGGTGGTGTGGGGGGAGTCGGAGGAGCCCCACGTGTAGCCAGGAGCCAGCGCCCTTCCCCACAGGCACCTAAGATGCTAGTGCTCCCGCAGGGTCTGCCTCCCAAGAGAGGAAAGGGAGAGGGAGGATGGACATCAGATGGAAGACAGGTTTGGGTGCCACTGCTTGGACATACGCTGGGAGTCTCCCCCTCACCCTGGTGTCTCATTTTCCTCTCATCCTATATGGCACTTGGATAGTGCCCCAAATACTCAAAGAAGGCTCTCCAGTCCACTGATGCCCTGCCCTGTCTTTAAAGATGGCAAATAACAATGAAAGCAGGGTTTTACACATTTGACTGTGTGCTGTATTACACGCTAGGCTTGAGAAGCCAAGACAGTAGTTTGGAGGTGAACACAAGGGTTAGAAGAAGAGAATGTTCCTTTCCTCTCAGGTCTTCCTTCCATCATGAAAAATTAACATTTGAGTGATTATTTAAAATAGATATCCAACCTACTTTTGGTTCACATGGGGCTAAAGTAGCTTTAATTTCACTGCATATACATTTCTCAGTGGGGAAAACCTATTTCCTTGGAAGATCTAAAGCTCTAAATGGGATACCTGAAACATATTAAGCTATAATTTGGTTATACCTGATACTGGTTTGCAGTGCTTGATATTCAGTCCATTTTTTCTTCTTCTTGTTTTTTTTTTTTTCCCTGAGACTGAAGAGACATACATTGTTAGGTAGAGCATACTTCACTAAGTTTATTTTTAAACTTAGAAAATATTATCACTAGCAAAAAAGTACTAGATTGGCAGCTCTTGGAGAACGAAGTCTTTCCTTCAGCCCTGAAGTGACAGAGGCAGTTTTGGTAAGACCTTCCCACACTGCTCCTCATCTATGTGCTCCAAGTGTGGCTTCCTCCTAACCTGACTCATGTTAGAAAGCCCCAGCTACTCACACCTGGGTGCAAACCCCAGGTGTGTGTTTGCAGGAGCTATTTTCTTTCTCATGCTGTGCTATGTGGAAATAGCAGTTGCAAAGATAGATATGCATTAATGGGTGCTGCAAGCACAGTAAAGCTCTAACGATTTGCCAGCAGAACCATACTTGGTAAAGCTTGCTGATGTGCTTCTCCTTCACATTGTAGGTTACTAGCATTTCTGAAACATGGGAGAGAAAGTCTATTGTCTAGAAATCATGATAGATAAAATTGAAAACAGTTGCTGGAAATTTGGGCTGGATAGTTTTCTTTCTGGTGGTCTGAAAGTGGGGTTTTGTGTTTGATTTCTCCTCTTGACATGAATGGAAGACTGAAAGATAGTAAATGGCCTCACACAGCATTATGTGTAGAGAAGTGTAAATGTTCAATAATGAATCCTTATAACATACCTGCGAAGTCAAATATATCATTTAACTTCTACTCATCAGAGAAGGTCAGGCAAGACATGTGTTAGGACAAGATCAAAGGTGTACCCGAGCTGATGGGAAGACCTTCTTCTCTGAGAAATGGTCTTGCTATCTGAAGGGTGACATTTTGCAGCTGCTTAGAAGAGGTCAATGGGAAGCCCAGCGTTGACTCTTGGTGCTGACTCTTAATATTACTCATCTGTATGACATCACTGAAGACAGCAAGACATGCCTTTGCTCTAAGAGCTGTGTGAGCACTTGTGCAGCTGAGTGGCTCCACTTCAGAGTTGTACAGACCCAATATAGAGAGCATGGCAGAAACACAGGCATGTATTTCTGAGACAGGGTCATACTGTGTCCTGGTGTTGTCCTTGTTGGCACAGTAGTTTTGCAGCCCTTCCCATCAAAATTATTCAAAACTACATTGGGTTTTCTTAATGTGTCACACCAGGGCCACTGGTTTAGTCACCCATGCTTTCGTCTCCTAATTTCTAAACAGGATCTTGTGTAGTCGTTTCACATGCAGTTAAC